GTCTTCAGGACCATACTACCTCCACATACGTACCTCACTACACATGGTAACGTGATTGTCCTGTCTTCAGGACCATACATCCCATAGGCATTTTCGGAGCATTTTCTTGTTGTTTGTACCCAAGCTAGACCATAATGCACCTTGTTTAATGTCAGTTAATACTTTGCTCTGTGGTCGTACATGGACAGTGCAGGCTGTTCAGCAGCTGCCAGAACTCCATGTAATTTTTTCCCCCTGCCTTGTTATTTGTCTCATTTCTCCTTCTCAACATGAATGCAGTTTGCATCAAAAGAAGGCTACTTGACAAAGCTTGGAGGAACAATCAAGGTTAGAAATTTTTTTTTTTTTTTGCATTTATTATAAATATAAGTATACTGATCATAGCACACTTTGTGATACGTACCATTAAGCACAAATAAAACCAATCTAGTATATAAATTAACACTAAAACTAGACACTGATATAAATACTATATACATTTTGTCGTTAATTTGTTAATTTAATCAAAAAATGAAACCGTAAAGTGTAAAAATAAATATCGTATTACTAAAATTAAAAATGATTTATCTTAAACATCAGGTCTTTAATTGGTTCCTTTAATTGCATGCCTATGATTATGAAAATGTTTTATCTGTCTAACTGTCTTCTAAACACTTCGTTTTTTTCTTTTTTCCATGTATCCTCACACGTACACTGTAATTATCCATCCGCTTGGCACTAAATCAATGAATGGACACACCCATACACTACAGAAAGTGAGTCATAAGCACACAGCCTTATCTTGAAATAATATGTACATATAATGCAAATAATTGTTAATTTTGGGTGCGTCTATCGTTACTTGGCGGAGGTGGACACACCCATACACCAAAGAAATTGAGTGACAAGCACAGAACTGTACCTTCAATTACTGTGTTCATATAATGCATGTACATATAATACATATCCGATTAATTAATCTCTATTACAGGTATGATAATATTAATGGGTGTGTCCACCCCCGTCAAAGGTGGACACACCCATACACCAAAGAAATTGAGTAACAAGTAAAAAGCAACACGCAGAAAGTCTAAATTTCAACTACAGTAAAAAACAGCCTATAAGAACCTATATTTTTCCAAGTTATTACAAAATAGCTGTTATAATTATTGTGATCTGATTAGTTGGGGGCACATGCTTTATGAGAGAATACACCACTTACAAAATAACAGCTATTCTAATTCGTACTTTGATTACACAATCCTACTGGTTGTGCTTCTGTAACACTTGTCTTGTGTTCTGCCAGTCCCAGCATGCTTTATGTACGGCAGCACCACATGTTTTCTATTTCTTCATTATGGTTAGAATGGAAGCACCATTCCAAACATTTGTAACTTTAATTTGTTCTAAACATAATCATTTCTAAAGACATAAATTTCTCATTTCATAATTATAATAACATAATATTATAATAGTCAAAGATCTCTTGCACTAACTAAATTCCCATCTTGGGTCACCATTTTATTTAATCTTCCAAGACTTGGTGCGAGGGGTCTATTTCAGTCTAATAACTTATCTTCTAAAACTACTCTAATAAATAAACTTGTTTGAATTTTTAAGAGCCGCAAAGGGTAGTTGCAGAAAACATCCATACCTTCCCCATCAGCCAAGGGGGATTGGAACTTTCAAGGGGTGGGGAGGGTCTGGGAAGGGAAATTTGTGACATTTTTTTTTTTTAGGGTTACAATAATATTAATAATAACTATTAATAATAACAATATTCAAAGTAATTTACAAATAAAACAAACAAAAACAAAACAAACAAAAGATCCATATCATTCTGCAATAGTCAGGGCAAACTTCTCTGTTATTTTCCTTTTAACTTTTTCCCACTTATTATAGAACTGGAAGACTAGATGGTTTGTGCTGATCAAAAATGAACTCAAATATTATAAATCAAAAGGAGTAAGTAATCGGTAATCGTGTAGTTCATGACCAGCCGACACATGTCGGTCGACTATCGCCCGACTGTTGGTAGACAGTTGCCCGACTGTCGGCTGTCTATCGGCCATGTGTTGGCCGTGTTTTGGTTGAGCGTTGGCCGGCTATCGGCTGTGTATCAGCCGACTATCAGGCAACACACGGTCGACAGTTTTGTGTGCTTCTTTGGGTTTTGTTGTCGGTCGATGCACAGTCAACGCATGACCAACAGTCGGCCAATTATCGGTAAAGTGTTAATGAAGTGTCAATGATATTTTAAATAACAGGATTAAAATATAATGAGACAGTAATAAGCTCGTGGGAAAAGTCTTACGTGATTTGGGGTTAGACAAAACTTTGGACATATTCTCAATCTTAATGTATTGTTTTGTCTTGTCTTAGTAGTCTCTCACTTATTCACCAACTGTCACCACAGGTGACCCCCTATCATAAATAAATTGTTAACTTGCTGTTTTGCTTCTGTGCTTCAAGGTTTCTCTCTCTGGGGTCCTCCCACCATATTTTCAATTTTATCTGACATTGAATGAATCCAATGGCATTCAACTTTTTGTGACCTATGAAGTACTTTTATTTTTTAGGATAAAGAACCAATCAGATCACTGGATTTAGAAGAATGTCACGAGGTGGCAAAAGAGGACTCTGTAGGAAAAGCAAACTGTTTTAGGTACGTGCTAGAAATTACAAGGTGAAAAATATGTGTAGTATTAGTACAATATGTCCCAGATGTCTTATTCCATCCATCCACCCACCCATTCATCCACCCATTCATCCACCCATTCATCCACCCATTCATCCATCCCTTCATCCATCCCTCCATCCATCCATCCATCTGTCCGTCTGTCTGTTCTAACCACATTACCTTATATAAAACTACTCTTAGTGGTTTGAA